TCAATTTCCTGGAGCCATTGTTTTACGTTAGTGAAGGTATCTGGATCAGTAACATCATAAACTACAATAATCCCATGAGCCCCACGGTAATAGGAAGATGTGATTGTACGAAAACGTTCTTGACCTGCTGTATCCCACTAAAAAGTTGGTGATGATGATAAAGAATAAAAAAAATATTACATATATAATCATTCTTTCCATTATATCATGAATAAAAACAAAAAAAAACATACAATTTGTAATTTTACTGTTTTTCCTTCAAGGTCAATTGTACGAATTTTCTAAATTAATTGAAAAAATCATGTAATTATAAGTTACTTTATTATTGTTGTTGTTGTTGGTGTTGTTGTTTGTTTATTTAAAATGTAAAGACAGATAGATAGATAGCTTACGAAATCTACACCGATGGTACTGATATAACTTTCTGTATATGTATCGTCTGCAAACCTTAAAAGTAAACAAGATTTACCAACACCTGAGTCACCGATCAAAAGAAGCTTGAAGAGATAGTCACTATAGAAATTATAATATAATATATAAAGAAATATTTTAATAAACTAATATATATAATATATTTTCAACCGAGAGAAAAAAATTCAAGAGCATTGTAAGTCTTTGATTTGTATTTTAATACATCAGTATTGACCGAGAATTAACTTGCCCAAGAAATCACTTTTGACAAGTTTTGAAACAAAATTTTTTGTAATGTAAATCACAAGGACACATTTATGTATTAATACAAACTATTGAAAACTATTTGTAGAACTTAATCCCCAAAGTACCATTACTTGCAATAAAAAATTAATAATAAACAACAACACTCTTAGAAAAGATGCTGCTGGCTTTGCACTTACTATTCAGGATTCATATTTCGTAATAAATATAAAAATTTGCGATTACTTAAAAATATTAATAGTAAGTGAAATAATAAATGAAATTAGGAGGTGAAAGAAAGAAAAATATATGTATAAAAAAATTTGTGCGCTAAACTTTTAATTATTATAAATTTTATTTTTAAAAAAAGATAACAAATTTTTTTATTTATGAAACAACCCCTCTCAGAATATATAATAATAATAATAAATGGCTTGTATTTAACGAAAGAACATATGATCGATTTGGTTGGACGTGTGACTCTTGGATAATGTGCATGTGATGATTGTATTTCTGTATTTCAAATACTTAAAAATCGTACACAAGGTTTTTCGGAATATTTTACGTAATTCGAAAAATGTAATAATAATAATAATAATAATACTAATACTAATACTAGTACTAGTAGCTTCCTTGGATAATTAATAATGTTTCAAAATTTTTTATTGTTACTAATATAAATAATTAAAAGGTCAAAGTTTTTCTTTTGACAATAAATAATTTGTCATAATAATTGATTTATTGGATTATTATATTTTTTTTTTTGGATTTGTTCAATCAATATGGTTTTTTATACGCGAAATGACTTCTATTGTGTGATGTATATGTTATTTATTTGATTGGTTGAAATTTTACATTCTGATTTACAAATGTAGATCACATAAATTTTCGTGAAATTTTCAACAAAAATACTCAAATAACAATACTTCAAATGTTCAAAATTGTATATTCTCCTAATAAAAATATGGTTTTTGATAAAATATTTAAAGTCATTTAGGATTACTGGCCCTCGAGATTGTTTTTAGTTCAGCAGTCAGAAATCCTACAAAAATTCGTTAGGAATTGAAAATCATCAAAATCAAAAATTCAGAGTGGTATAAATATATCCTACCTAATGTACCTAATGTTATCAATGAAATAAATAAAGGGTACTCTATTAAATATTAAGATTGTGGTTTTTATATTTTTGAATTTTTGAGTTTTGATGATTTTTCAACATATATAATAGGTTTTCCTTACACACACAACTTTATCAATAAATTTTAATTGCTTTTTTTTATTTTGTTTAAAGTTTTCTATTATTATGTGGGATGTTTCACTGGAGAAAAAATCTCTGAAACCTAAAAATGACTTTAATACAGTAATAAATCACAAAAATGTGATCTACATTTATTGCGTCACCCTAGATATGACGATCTAAATAAGAAAATTCACATTTATTTATTATATCAAAGAACAAGAAAAAAATGGAAATTTCTTTTAGGAATTGCATATGTGGAAATTAAATTAGCTGATCAAAACAATCAAGAAAAAAATTTTTAATGATTTTTTTTAATGGCCTAGCTCATAACAGTGCAGAGAGAGAACCTTTAACTGCAGAAATTACAATACACTTTTTGTCAAAAAATATATCTCAATATGTTGGAGTTGGTAGAACTTATTCAGAAATTATTGAGTATTTTTATATCAAGAATCCATGGTAATGCTAAAAGAATGCCTCAATGAAAAACAAAAATCATCAATTAACTTTTAGAAGCTTCCCATGCTATGCCCTGCCTGTGCTGGTTTCTTATTTTTGATCCTGCCATTTATCTTAGCTCTCTTGTCACAAAGGTTCAGTTATTGCTATATTTTTTGGGAATAGGTTTTTTATAAAGTAAGATAAACAGTTAGACTATGATTAAAAATGGGGACTACAATTAACTGCAATTCAATGTTCATATACTGCAATTGCAATTAAGCATGTTAGCCAAAATTGCCTCTCTTAATAAATGATCATTGCTGAATCCGAAATGCTGAAATAGTTTTTCATAGTTACCAAAATCAACTTTATTAGTTGTTGAAATTATATCCGAGATTATTTGAACATTTTAACTCAATAGCCAAAATTCTGGGTGGTTTTTTTATGCCTATTGATATAAAGAATATTGTAAAACCGAAATTGCTTACTGAAATTGATTTTTTCAAAAACCATTTCGGCTAGCATTCTTAATTGCAACCACAATTCAATTTCTATATTAATTAGTTGCAACTATACATGAAGTCGAAATTGAAACCCAAAAGTTGAAATTTCAACCTGGGAGATCAAAGTTGAATCAAAAGTCAAAATGGTCGAAATTACATCATAAAACAAGCTGAACATATAGAAAATTAATCAAAAGCTTCAAATCCTCATAACTTGGTCAATATCTGGCTATTTTGAATAAAACAACTATCATTCAAATTCTCTCAATGAGATGGGCCTAATTTGAATCACTGATTATTGAGATATTTTGGCTTACCATAATATTACAATAACTTGCCATTTATTGATGCTGTGGACACTAAATCGCCATTATTCAAATCATCTTTATGAGACTATTCTAATGAGCCAAATTTGGATCTCAAGATAAATTATTAATTATAATAAATCATGTGATATGACCATTTTGACTTTTTGGGGGTCAAAGTCAAAATAGCCAAAATCAATTTCGACCATTTTGACCCCCAAAATTAAATCATTTCGACTTTCAACTAGTTGCAATTAATTGAGGATGAGCTATTTTTAATTTTCAGTGACAATATTTTCAATTTTTGGTAAAAAAGATAAACATCAATTATTTTCAAGATAGTGAATTTAACACTGAATACTTTGTACTCCTAATTTGGCCTCATCTGAAAATATTTAAACTTATTGTTCATGAATGTACCCAGCAATGCCATTTCTATTAATAGACACAAAGGAGTAGTATTATAAAAGTTCATTAAATTTATGATTCCTATTCTTTCTTCAGCATCCAGGTCAGGGAATATTATCTTTCAAAAACTCATCATTCTTACTAACAAAAGGATTGTCAGTAAGGACTTATTTTTAAAATAGATCTTTTACAATGACCTTTCTTTTCTAAATCTAGCCATGTTACATTTTCATATTCTCTTTTTCATTCAATTTTACATTCTTTTATCCTTTCATCTTTTGATATTTCTATCCATAATCACTCAATTCTTGCTGATCTGATATCCTGTTTGCTGATATAATTATTAATGTGTGTTTGCATTTTTATTTTGTTCATGGTCAAGTTCCCTTCTGAGCAATTAATTAACTTTGTTTTTTTCAATATCTAAAACTTGTTGAAAATTATTGTTTTCATTCCTAATATTGTTTTTTATTTTTGTTGAGAATTGTTTTTGAAGCTCTCTATTTCAATGTCTAAAATCTATGTGCGGAACGCTCGCTCCGAGCATAGTAGTTTATTTGCGCACAATATAATTTTAGAGATGTGTCCGACCTCTCTTTTTTATAAATTTGTGGCTTAATGTGCGGGATTCAGTTAGATCAAATAAAATATTGTTCACAAATCCTTATAAAAAATCATTACTTTTTTTTCTGATGAACTTTTTCAAATATAAGATACCTTTTTATTCACTCCATTCACATTAAAGCTTTGAAAAATGGATAAATTCGTTATTTGTGAAAAGAAAGAAAAAAGTAATGAAGGATCCAAACAGGCAGTAACTACACAAAAGCAAAATAATAAGGAAATAACCAAACAAGAATTAAATAAAGTATGTGAAGATTTTGGTTACAAGTTTACCCTTGTCTTGAAAAAGTGAAGACAATAATAGAAAGGTGACAAAATGTTTTTCGAAAAATATAAACAAAATTTATCAATTGTTTTTATTATGTAAAATTGCCCGCAAATTAGTTTAATAATAATGTGTGGTCAGCGCACTTAATTTCGAGTTCAGATTTGTTGATTGCTTTTTTTTAATAGTTACTAAAATTAATAAACTGAATAATGTTGTGTAGAGAATTGATTTCCTTATTTCATATTGATAAATTTAATAAAATATAAAAATTTTGTCTATCCATTTTTTAGACAGGAGGATTACCTGTGTCATATAATTATCATTCAGTAGAAGGAATGAATAAACTCATCAAATATTTTTCTGGCATAGAGCAAGATAGAATTTTCATTGACTTCATCATGAGTGAAGTTTCTAGAAAAATTTATTTCCTAACCTCCTTTTCAAATTAAAAGCTTCTTCACTTATCATAGTAAAAGATCCTGGCAAAAAAATGCCAAGACATAAAAATTAAAAATATAAATCAAATTAAATCAACTCATCAAATATTTCTATTATAATCAAGTTTTTGACCTTTCCTTCCAAAATCCTTTACCATAGCTAACTAAGATTTCAGAGCCTTTTTTAATTTTTCCTATTCCGGATATTACCCAGACACCCATATTAACCATACCAGTATTTAAGTCTATATATTCATGAAAAATCGCATTTGGTTTTTTTGATATGCCACGGTAATCATTTATAAATCTTGCTTCATTACCTAAAACATTACAAATAAAGATTAATTAACAAATAATATTATAAAATAAAAATCACATCATTGTATAAACAAAAAAAAATTAAATTAAACCTTGTTTAAATCCATCAATACACAACTTATTAATAAAACATAATACATAATTATTATTTGAATCATCAAAACCCTCTCTGGGCATTACTTTGCCATTATAGTTTATGATTAAGGTTGATTCTTTTAAGTCTTTTGTTGCAAATAATCCATTACCTGGATAGGCTGGATGATCCTTTTGATCTTTTAAATATTTTATTTTAACCAAAGGATTTGGTAAATTTGGTGTTATTGCTACTGGAAGTAATGAAGAAGCTGTGAATGGATGAATAGGATGAGTTTTGATCAAAGACACATCATATGGTGATGGTTTTAAAGAAGTCGGAATGTAATCGTTGTAATAAAGATAAGTAACATCATTAGACCAATTATATGGAATGGGTTTTTTGGACATTATATATTAAGGAAAAATTTTTTCATGAATACAAAAATGGGAATTTTCGAGATTATACAATTTCTACTTTTTGTTTCACTACTCGATAAATTTTTTTCTGACAATATCCAATTTTTAATGAAAAAGGATTTCGCAAACACCCCACTTATTTGTTAGAAGGCCTCGGATATTGAGATATCACATATATTGTAATTACTCCAAAGACTTGCTATTTCTCTTTTGAGCTCTTACAAGATGAGTCTCATTTTTTACTCATTTCATTGAATTCATTTCGTGTCACCAAGTACTTGCTCTATAATGAAATTGAACAACTAACGAAAGGATCTCGGAATATTTAATTAGCGGTAATAGTAAAATTCATTTTGGTGCGGCAATTCAGAATGTTGCAATACTACTATATTGCTAGGTAAATAAATGTTATATTGTTTTTTGGCATCTGCAAGTAACCTATATGTTTCTTGGAACAGGTTATCCTTCTATTTGATAAGACTTTGTCTTGACTTTACACTTGCTTTAATTTTCATATCTTAAAAAATATCCAACTTTCAACACGTTTATTTATTTTAAGAATGTGTTGCCTAAACCACTGCTCTCAATTTAATTTATTTACACAACATACTCACTTTCTTTAAATTTATCTTTATCAATATCTGATTCACTTTCTGAATTAACAATAGATATTATCATCATTATCATCATCACCATCACCACCACTGTTGTTATTGTTGTTGTGATTAATTTTCATTCCAAAGATTTCATTTGTATGTGGACCATCTTGATTAAGCGCTTATTTACTTTTACGAAACTTTGTTCGTTGCTACATAAATAAATGAATGAATAATAATTATAATTATAATTTTGTATTTTTAGAAAGAAATTTAATTACTTGCACTAGATACATGAAATAAATATTTTCATCAGATGAATTATTAATCACCCAAATTAACATTATCCTCCTCACCTTTCACCTTCGCCCTTACTCTTAAACAAATCCTTTTAACAACTGATCAAAAATACTTGCATTTTCCAACAAATTATATTAACTGTACCTACACCTAAACCATCTTTCCTGAACAGTAATTTTTATGTATTTAGTTTTACCATCTATATCCATCTAAAAATTCCTGTTATACAAAGATATGATTTATGGTGGTACAAATAATGGATTTCTTCATATATATATTCTTAGTATTAGCAATGTTAATGTTGTAGTAGCATTAACTCTTCTAACAAGTAATATTTAAAGACAACTTGGGTGGCATCGTGTTACAACACATACTTGAGAACAATGAAAAAATTTTGAAAGGGTGTGATTGTATAATACAATATCTAAAAATCCTAATGCATCAATCAATCCCATGGTGTTTGTTCGTTTAAAGACGCAGAGAAAAAAACAAATACAGGCACACATAATGAATAAAAGGTCGATAAAAAATGTAGGAAAGAAACATTTAGAGATTATTCATTGTGACATTTTTTTTTTTTTTATATATATTAAATAAATAATTAATTGTACCGTCAAAATTTTACCATCGAATATTATTATATGGAATCCATTACAAACAAATAAAAAAAAAATCAATGAAAAGAAAACCTTTTCTTACATTATATTAAGTCACCAATTACCATTTTAAATTATTATCCATTCTACAAAAGCTAATAATAATTATGTTAACAATATTAGTAAAGATCATGATTCTATTGATCCTTTCAAACCCCTCCAGACGATAAGAGCACACCATTATAAAATTTTCCTTTCAACACCTTCTATCCAAACTCTCTATTATCTCTTCTTCACAAATCTGCTGATATGATATTACATAATACAAAAATATAGAGACCACTAATCGTTTTCAAGAATTCTATTCTTGTCGTTTACTTGGTTGTCATCATCAACAACTTCATTAAATCCTAAAAAAATTTGGAACGTAATAATAGATTATCTAATAAATTTTTAATAAATATTTCACTTACCTTTCTTAAGAATCCAAATAAAGAAGTCTGCAATTTCCAGTTAAATAAAGTCGAATATATGTTTTAAAACTGTGATATATATATGTGTATATATGAAATATGTGAAATATATAAATTAATGTGTGTTGTTTAAAAAAGAGAATTGTGTGGGGGGAGTAAGGGATTTTGAATTAAAAGAGAAAAGGCTACAAAAAATATTTTTTTTAGAGGAAAAAAAATCAATTATTATTTATAAATTACATTTCTTCAAAGGAAAAAAAGATCAAATATAATTATTTGGTAAGTAGAATTGATTATAAAGCATTGAAGTAGGAAGAAAAAAAAAATAGAAATATAGATATGAATATTTAAAAAACATTTTATACTGATTATTTCAAATAAGTAACAACAAATATCTCTGATATAATATATATGAGGAAGCTCTTTGGACAAAAATAAAAAAAAATTTCTCTCTCTCAACAATTTTTAATTAGCAGTAAGTGGGCACAAGATATAGAATATATGAGTGAGAAGGATGAATGAGAAAAGTGAAAAGTCAAGGAAGATCCCAAAAATAAAATAAAATTTTAAAATTATCAAAAGAATAAATTATAAGTAAAAGATTATAAATAAAATAAATGATGATAATGGTGGTGGTAATGGTGGTGATGATGATGATAATAAGTATATAATTGTTAAAGCCAATTAATGAAATTGAAATAAAAATAAAAGATTGGCTTAAAAAATTAATTTTTTTTTATATAATAATTATTTCTTGATTTTTAATAATATGTTAATAATAATATCACTAATATTATTCTAAATGACAAGTATTGTATAAAAATATATCAAAAAAAGAAAAATAAAGTGTTCAAAAACAAAAAAGAAAATATATATAATAGAACCATCAAGGATTTTTTTAAAAAAGAAAATACATTTATAAAAGAAAGGAATTTTTTATTTAAAAAAAAAATTAGGGTAAGACAACAATTAGATACAAGAAAGAGGATTTATACTAAAAAAAAATTTTTAAAAATAAAAGAAATTTTTTTGTTTTCTTCTCAAAGAAATGAAAAGAAATTAAAAGGCAAATGATTAATTATAATGAAAAAATAATAATATCTATGATAATGATACTATATAATATAAAAATATATGTGTGTGTATGTATGTATGTTGTATATATGTGTTGTAATTGATTTGTGAAAAGAAGGAAAGTATCAAAGAACTCATTCAAAAAAAAAGATAATTCAAATTATTAATTAATAATATAGTCAACCACATTTAAATCAACAAAAATATAAATCCAAAAAACCCCAAAATTCAAAAATTCAAAATAAAATTCAAGGATAATTAATTAAATTTTTTTTTATAAATATGATAAAAAAAAAACAAATTAAAAAAAGAATATAATATATAATGCAAAGAAAAAACAGATAAAAAATAAAAATAAGGCCTTTTTTTGCTACATTAAAAAAAAAAAAAGTAAAATTTAAATCATAAAAAAATATTCTAGTTTCTTACCAAGCAAGTTGCAATCCATTCCCATAAAATAATGTTTAAATATAATAAATGAAAAAATATCCCCAATTATAAAATTATGCTAGTGTTATAAGAGAGTAATAAAGTAAATAAGAAAGGTGTGTGTACGTAGGAAGGAGAAAAGTAACAAAGAAGTGGTCAAGGAAGCGGTCAAGGAAGTGGATATATTAATCATATGAAATTCATTCTTTAATAATAATCCTTTTTTTATTCTTCTTCACCTTCTAGAACGTCATCTTCTACTCCATCAATATTTCCTGATTCAGAATTATCACCTGCGTGAAGAACCCTAGCATCAGATTCACCATTATTACGTCCTTTAGTCTTGCCACTTGAAATACCCATATTATTCATTGTAATTCCTCTTGGTGGATTACCACAACGGTCTTTTCCATAATTGATGCGATATTTTTTGTACTCGTCTTTGCTTTTAATGCCTTCAATTGCCTTGATGGCTGAAGCAATGGAAGTAAAGTTGATGAATCCACAATTTTTTTCTTTGAGAATATTGACCAATTCTATCTCACCATATTCTTGAAAATCTCTACGAAGCTTTTCTTCGGTCATATTCTCATCAATTTGCCCAACATAAACATTACGAGAAGCACTTTGAGTTGTTACTGCTATTTGAATGTGACCAGGTAATGGTCCCAAATTTTTCCCCCAACCAATCTTAAGTCTTCTATTCTTGATCACCACACCTACTTGTTGTGCTAAATACATAAAACTACTGGCAGAATTTGGATCAATAAAAGTGATAAATGCTATATGTTTTTCTGGCATATATCTGATTTGTTGAAGAATACCGCCACGAATAACATTGCAAATTTCTTCACATGTAGTATCGGGATGAATATTACCAAGATAGATTGTACGATTTCCAACATTGGAGCTAGAATTGGCGCTACCTGTAGCGGACGAAGCAGACGAGAAAAGTGGACTGGTTGGGCTACGCATTTCCGTTCCATTTTCCATTTGACTGCTTCCAGTTGCCATACCAGTATGATAAGGGTCAAAAGCTGATCCACCATAACCTATTGCTGTCGCACCCGCAAAACCTTGGAAATTCATAGAAGCTCCTGGAAACGATGAATATTGAGTAGCAGTGTTGCCATTTTGCATGTTTTTTTGAACACATCTATCTTTACCATAATTTACTTTTTTGTTCGCATATTTAGGATCTGTCGGTAACGATTGAACTGCCTTCATAGCACTTGCAATACTCAAGAAATGAACAAATCCAATATTTTTGTCTTTGACAATTTTCACTGTGTCGATGGTTCCAAATTTACCCAAGTCTTCACGTAAGATAGACTCGGTAAATGTGTCGTCCAAATTTCCTAGATAAACATTGCGTGAAGCATTTTGTGTGCTAACAGCGACTTGAACATTAACTGGTATAGGTGAAGGCTTACCCCAACCAACTTTAAGTTCTTGATTGTGAATCATAATTTTACGATTAGTTGCTTCTTGGTAAAATGCCATAGCAGCTGCGCCATCCATGAAAGAAATAAATGTACAATTTTTATCTGGAAAAACTCTAATAGATTCTATTGGACCAATCTTAATATGATTTATAATTTCATCCATTTGTGTGTCTGCTGGTACGTTTCCAAGATATACAGTACGACCAGTAGCATTTGTAGCAGAACTATTAACAGCAGTTTGTTGATAAGAACTTGGGAATTGACTTGTTGAGAAGGCCCCAGTAAACTGGGGAACCATACTACTAACGCTAGTAGTATTATATTGGTTCATAGCTGTAGCATATTGTGAAGCTGCTTGATGATAACCACCCATACTGGCAAAGTGACCACCTACAGGATGATAACCTGCTGTACCTTGAGAATAAGAAGGTGTGGCCATCATCATTGCTGCTAATAATAAATATATATAAAAATAATTTTTTACATATTTAGAAATATTTAATAGAAATTTATTAATTTATATGTATATTTTATTTATTTTAACTGTTCTGTTTCATCATACCTCCTGTTAAAGAATAACCGCTATTATAGCTTTGACCAAAACGTGGTTTTTTAATATTATCATGACTTTGATTTCCATAATCGTTACTGCGTTTCATGGTAGAATTTAGACTGTAACTTTGAGTACCAGGTCCGTGAGAATGGGATGACACCATAAAGTTTCAAGTAACGATAAAAAAAAAGAGAAACAAAGAAAACAAATGTTTTTTAATAAAAATTAATTTTTTATAAAGACCGTTAATAATAATAATAAATGAATATTATATATATATATATATAAAATAATTAACTATTGGATACTCGTTTCTTTCTAAACTAGTCAATAAAGAAATAATCTAACTAATAAACTAATATATATATATTCGTTATATAATATATATATATATATATACCCCAAAATGAAGTTTCTTGTTTTTTATAAAGTACCTGAAGAAACGTTAAGGGTTCTTGAAAAAAAAATAATTATTCTTTAAAAAAAAAAAAGGCCAGATGAAATTCTATAATAATTATCTTGGTGAAATTATTATGATCAATCTCGAAGGGTATTGGTGGGTCAATCTTTAAGTCTCACACACTCTTACCTTTTATATAATTTTATTTAAAAAAAAGTTTTTTTTTTAAGCTTTTCATGCACAATACGTGTTACCAACAACAAAAAATTGTTTGAAATTATCACATTGAATATATCACATTTCTTGATAATCGTGACTAAATTATGTTTATTTCCAATCAATAAGCCATGATTAATTAATTTTACATGTTTTATTAGTATCTCATTACATAATTAATTTTTAGAAAGGAAAAAAAAGTTAATTTTTTGAAATTAAAAAACTCAATTTACAATATAACACTTAATCACCTAAAATCTTTTATTTCTTGCTTTATTTAATTTTTAATTATTTACGCATCTGATTAAATTGATTACTGCTAAACCTATTATAAATTTTTTTTTTAAAAATGTTAATAATTTATATACAATTTTATTATCAGTAATTCTAAATTAAAATTAAATCAACGAACCCTGGTGACGAATTGTCAGTGCCAAATGATCCACCGAGCACATTATTATTATTATTATTATTATTATTATTAGCAGTTCCAAAGCCACCGGCACTGTAAATACAAAAGTAAAAATCATTAAAAAATTTAAAATAAATTAAAAGTGATAATAAGAAAAATTGCTCACTTTGTGTAACGAGCAAATCCACCGCTACTCGGTGTTTTTAAAGGTGTAGTATTTAAACCAAGAGACGAAGAACCAAAACCAGGTTGCCCAAACGCAGGTTGACCAAACGCAGGTTGCCCAAATGCAGGTTGACCAAATGCAGGTTGACCAAACGCAGGTTGACCAAACGCAGGTTGACCAAACGCAGGTTGACCAAATGCAGGTTGACCAAACGCAGGTTGCCCAAACGCAGGTTGTGAAAACGCAGATTGCCCAAATACAGATGATGATGCAGGCTGAGAAGTTGATTGAGAGAAAGGAGATGATGTTAATGTAGATGATGATGCAGGCTGAGAAGTTGATTGAGCGAAAGGTGATGATATTAATGCAGGTGATGATGCAGGCTGAGAAGTTGATTGGGTGAAAGGTGATGATGTTAGTGCAGATGATGATGCAGGCTGAGAAGTTGGTTGAGCGAAAGGTGATGATATTGATGCAGATAATGATGCAGGCTGAGAAGTTGGTTGAGCGAAAGGTGATGATATTAATGCAGATGATGATGCAGGCTGAGAAGTTGGTTGAGTGAAAGATAATGATGATATTAATGCAGCTTCAAATACAACATCTTCCTCATCTTTTCTATCTTTTTCATCTTCATCGACTCTGGGAGCATCTTCCTCTACTACGCCTAATATTGTTGTTGATTTCTTTATTTCTTTTAAAGTTTCAATATTTTTGTTGGTGATTGTGTCTTCTATGTCTGATTCATATTCATTCTCAGAATGATATTCATATTCGCCATCATCATCATCGTCGTCGTCTTCGTCTTCGTCGTCATCGTCTTCATAATCGTCTTCACCATTGTCCTCACCATCCTCACCATCCTCATCATCATCGTCTTCTTCATAATCGTTGTCACCGTCATCACCATCATTACCATAAAAAGATTCTGGTTCTTGTGGAACCAATCTTTTTGGAATAATTATAGAACTAGGTAATTCTTTAATAATGAAATACATGAATAATAATAAATTAAATAAGGTCAAGTTAAATAAGATAAATGAGCAAATAAACAAATAAAATTAATAATTACCAAGACTCATTTCAGGATCGAATAAATTATTGACTGGGTTTTTTCTTTTGAATTTATTTATATCTTTCAATTTGTTGAAGGCATGTTCCTTATTGAAATAATCTGTTGCTATTTTGGCTGCTTCATCTGAATAAGAAAGATTATCATTTAACTTGTATGACGATTTGATTTGTTCAATATTTTTATGTGTTGAAGTTTTTTTTGAGGCCGACGACGGCTCTTTTACAATTTTTTTCTCAGATTGGGTTTTTTGTAGAGTGAGTGCATCTAATTGTTCAATCAAATAATCCATCTGAGATGAATTTCGATATAAGCATTTACTGATATTAGAAACTGAACGATCAATATATTCTAAAGGAGATTCTCTTTAACAATTATATGCTGATTAGTAAATAACCAAATAATAAATAATCTGATTTAAATAATCATAATAATAATCACCTTAATAATCTATTAGATTTTTTCTCTTGAATTTGGTCATATAATTCATTTAACTGTACTTCTAATGCCAAAGCAGTCTCTTTAGTATTCTACAAATAATAATAATAAAAATCATTATTAAAAAAATTACAATAAAATGAAATTAGATATGATGTATCTTATTAATTAAATACTTGATAAGACTTTTCAATTTTCTCCTTAACATTTTTTCCTATTGATCCAAGCCTTTTTAAGGAATCACAAGTTTGATTTTCTTCATGTTTTTCTATTATTTGTATATCTTTTTTAATATGAGCTTCAGCTTACATACATAATTTTTTTTTAAAAAATTATTATTATAATTATTAGTCAGAATAATTTCAATCCAAAAAAAAATATATATAATATATGTACTTGTAAATACTTTGAGTAATATTTTTATAAACATCGTTTAATTTGGATGTAATATTTGATGTTTCATCTATTAATTCATCAGCCTGATCATTCGATCGTCTTGTTTCCAACGACAAATGTTTGAATGCCTGAATAGTTATTGTATTTGAGTCGTCGCCTAAATATTGATTGTTTGCATCGACACTATATTTCGAAATGTGAACATTATCTATATCATCTATTAGATGTTTAAACTGTATATGTTATATATAGAGATGACGTGAATGGAACAACAATTTTTAATATTCAAACCTCCAAAAAATAGAAACCAATAATTATATATAATTAAAAAAAAAACCTCTTCTATTGAGCTTTTCATTGCATAAACGCATTCAGCGTTTGAAATTTCCTTCTCTTTTTGTTTGAAGTTATTGCTGTTGATGTTGATGTTGTTGTTGCTGTTGATGTTGTTGTTGATGTTACTGTTGATGTTACTGTTGATGTTACTGTTGATGTTACTGTTGATGTTGATGATGCTGTTAATGATGCTATTGCTGTTGATCTTGTTGATGATGCTGTTACCGTTGATGGTGCTGTTGATGGTGCTATTGATGGTGCTGTTGCTGTTGCTGTTGATGGTGCTATTGCTGTTGCTATCGCTGTTGCTGTTGATGATGCTGCTGATGTTACTGTTGATGTTGATAGGTGATGGTATTACTGGTGGTGATTCTGGGGAAATTGAAGGGACTATTTTGTTTGTTAACGTAGTTGCTATATTGTTATTGTCGTTGTTGTTAACATCATCACCATCACCACCACCACCACCACCACCACCACCACCACCACCATCATCATCATCATCATCGTTTGGGATGATGATATTCTTAAAATCAAATTTAGAAGTTGAGGAGGAAGAGGAGGAAGAGGGGGCGACAGTATCTTCTGGAATAGTTTTATTCGTTAGCAATAGGTCTGTGTTGGGAGGAGGCAGCCCATAGGAGTGACCTCTAGTTGGTAGTGGTTGAGGAGTTATCATATCTGAACAATTAAACCCTGATTCAAAAGCGTCTCTATGGAAACATCTATATGCTAATATGTCGGAGGCGTTGTTTAAAATATAAACAATAGGAACTGATGGTATTTCAACTCTATCTTCACTAGGCGTTTGAGTGATCCAAGTATCAGTATCGGTGAAATCAATTGCCATTCCAATAGGGAGGGTGTCATTATCATCATCACCAAGAGGTAGTGATGCATCGGATCCTTCAGGCAAATACCAATACAACCATTCATTTGATTCATCGCATGTAATCACATGTACATTGATTGAATTAGCGTTTGCACAAATAACAAGATTCTTTGATCTAGGGCCCCTATAATATAAGTATATAAAGATAAAGATATAAAATGATAGGATATTATAACAACAAATCCGCGGTCACAATAATTTTTACCAATTTCTGATTGTTTCCATGTAAAGATTAGGGTTTCTCTCATCAGTGCTATATGGACACAAATCTTTAATATGTTGATATACAGTTTTTTTCTTTGAATCGCAAAATACTATATAATTTTCAAGATCTGAATTTTCATCTTGTACCACTGGAAAATAAGCTACTATAAATGTTGGAGTGTCTAACCATAATATATTCTGAACTAGTTATATGTGTATATACGAATATGAATAGAAACGTTAATATTTAGATAATATTTAACTCCATCAATATTTTTTCTAATAGTTATAATAAAGAAAGTTTTCAAATATGGATGATATTAAAAAATTCACTTACCATAATATGAAGGTTGAATTAATTGCTTTGGTGGCTGTATTGAAGACTTCACTATTCCTTCAGGTAAATGTTGCATTAGTTTCCCAGTTTGTGTGCCACATACTAATTGTTTCCCTTTTGGAGACCAACAAACTTAAAAAAAAAAAAATAGTCAAAAGAAAGTATTTGTTAAATAATGATACTAAATGATATAGTTAATATAATAATAATAATAATGAATAATGGTAACTTACGAGCAGTAACTTGATCTCCTAATTTAATATTATCTATGATTCCAATTTGCTCATTTTTTAAATAATCATAAATATGCACAATACCAGATACAAGTAAAATAGCAACAATGTTGAATCTTTCTCCTAAATTTGGACGAATATCTTTAATCTCATCCGAGAATTTCATTATTTGATATGGTTGAATAGAAGATTGCTAAATACCAATATCATTTATTATATGCATCAATATATATTTTAATTAGAATAACCTTAAATTAACAATTACGCATATCATGTAAAGATTCATTTAAAAACAAATTGAAAAAAACTAACCTCCACTCCAATTTTTGTCACATCATAGTATAATACTATACCACCTTGTATAGCGACTATAATTGTTAGTTGATCAGAGGAAAGTCTTAAAGAAATCACACAACCTTCTAAAATATCAACATGAATCTTTTGATCAAAATTAATTTTTAATTCATCAGAAGTTTCAGAATTCACAAACTTCGCACGAAGGTCTTTTGTATACGCGTAAAAAAATCCTTTTTAATATGATGGAAAACAAACCAAAGTTAATATATGAAGAAAGAAGAAAAGAAGTTCTTTTGTTATTATTTAAAAACCATTTTTAACCTTTATTTGATGCAGCAACAAAATATCCATAAAGATTAGAGACAACAAGTAAGTTGGAATGTGATGGAGTTTTGGATAAATCGAAGACATTTTCAGATAAACGTACACTCGGAGTATTTTTACGTAATAGTTTAAATTCAAAAAACTAATAATATTACCAGAGTTAAAATTATAAATTTTGTGCTTTAAGAATTATTAACTAAAATTGCGAGTATATAAAAAAGTTTTTATGAACCTCTACATCTACTTGATTAACGTCGAATTCTTCAATTTCTTCGTCCATTTTTTCATAAAAAAAGTTAATAGTAAATATAGGATTTCCCAACTTAAAAAACGGCACGTGATTATAAAAATACTCCCGATATTATTATTATCACGTGGTGTTACGGACCAGTTTCCGGTTTTTGAGGTTCGCGGTTTACTATTACCGGAACAAAAATTACAGTTCCAATTCCGTGTTCCAGAGACTTTTTTCTGGAACATGAATTGAACCACTAGAAAAACTGGAACCACTGAGAACAACCATAGATCACTGCAATAGATTTATTTTTTAATCATTCATTATTTTATTTATAAAAATTTTTCTAATATTATATTTATCTGAAAATAATATGAATTCATTTGGGAGTTTCAATCCAGATTTAAATGGGCATACTGCAACAAAACCAGGCAAAATGAACATCTAGGATTTAATATAACTGTGATATCATTTTTAATTACAACTTTAATTTAAATAAATCAATTCATTTTATGGATTAAAATTGAACTAAATTCGTATCAAGCAAAATTAAAAAGACCACATCACTTGTGAATGTTGAAGATGTATTAATATTTATACAACGAATTTTAGTGGCCTGTACCATGGATTTGTTGAAATGAGGTTTGACTGTACTATATAATCTTTGAAATCTGCACATAAAAAAAAATATTTGTAGTGGAACAAAAGTAGTACAATTTTCATGCAAAGATGCTCGATTGGCTATTTTTGTGCCAAATTTCCTCCATTTTTTGATGATCAAAATATCAATTTAAAGCTCATTCGATAATTCTCTGTGCACGGTCTGAATGTTTTGTCACTGCTTCATCATGGTAAAAGAAAAGGAAGATGCAGGCAGTAGTGATGACAGTAGATATGGTTGTGGTAATGAAAAAAAAATAATTATTCTATATGAAACCAAATATTTTACCTTATCTGTTTGAAATTATGTTAAAGTAAGAAAAAAAAACAAATATAATAACAACAATGATCATAATAACTATTCATAATGGTAATCATAATTGATCTAATTATCAATTATTTAGTTATTTAGATATAATTTATACAGGTATAATTAATTAATTTAACAAATTTACAATTATCAAATATTTTGGATCTTTTATTAATAGCTGATAAATTATTACTTGATGAATTAATTTATGTGATATTGTTAAATCGGATAAAATGTCAATTGTTTTTCAACTAGCTGTAAAACTTAAATCATGTGACAAGCTACAAAATCATTTATTAGAGATAGTTAATCACAATCTAACTCAGTACATTGAATCAGATGATTCGTTAATCCTTACTCCCGAATAAAGGAGAAAGTCCAGGATCAAATTGTTCCGGGCATGAATGCTTGGGTTCTTTTCGACTTGAATTTCTTTAGCTCAGTTTCAGTGATGGTATCAAAGAATTTCCTTTGGGTTTTTTGGCATTAGTATGCCACGAAGGGCGGCGAATTCTGTTTTAAAAAATAAAGGAAACCCCGACAAGATATTGCTATTTTTTTAATAAAATACAATCAATTTAAAATACTTTATATTTTTTGATGTCTTGTGTTTAAATTAGTGAGCAGTTTGAGGTTGAATTGTTTCGTAAATTTTTCTACATTTTATTTTTTTCTCATTAATTAATCTCTAAAATTTTAGAACTAGATTTAAACATGAGACGTGTTCCTTACTTATTATTATACCACAAAGGTCAATTTTCGAGGCGAAGATTTTTAAAAAATTACGAAAAATTCTTTTTTTATTTATATGTTGCGAGTAAAAAATTTTTTTTAATCAAAAAGAATTAACCGATCAAAAAATATCTTAACCGGTTAACCACGGTTAACCACGGTTAACGGTGCCAACCCCTAGTCTTTTGTAATTTTAGCTTTTAATTTTACAACGAAATTATTTATTCTTATAGCTTTGTAATTTTACAACGAAATTATTCATTCTTGTTATAGCTTTGAAATTATTTATTGTTAAAAAAATCTTTCAATCAATGGTGGTGGTGATTATTGATGATGTAACTCGTTACTCTGTTAAATAAAAAATTCTTTCAACAAGTTACACGATAATATTCGTAACTTTTTGACAAGTAAAAACTGACAGAATTAATAATTGAACAAAAGAACCAAATAATTAATATTTCAGGCTTTGCTCATAAGAGTAGAGCCGACACTAATATTGATTATTTCTTCTTTACAAATAATTCGTTTTGTAATAAACCTTTTTCATAATTAGATGTTGGAACTTTTTTTTGAACAACTAATACTAATACTAATACTAGTCTGACCAATTACGATTTTTGTGTTTTATCATTCAAAATGGAAATTTTTATGCGAAAGAGTATCAATACCATCAATATGATGATGACGACAATAGTAGTGTGTTGTTGATGACAATTTTACACGTGAATGAATAAACACTTCCAATACAAGGTCCAATAGTTCATTGGCTTCAAGTTCCAATGATTTAAGCGGGCGGTTCCAAAAAACCTTTAAAAAACGAATCGTAACATAGTTTTGTGTGGAAGCATTTTGAAAAAGTGAAAGATTCAAATGGAAATGAATTCGTAATTTGCAAATTAAAAAAAAACAAAATAATATTATTATTATTATAAAAAAAAATTTAGTCGACTAAAGAAAATTTTGTATATAGTAATCGACTAAGGATTTTTTGGACATTTCCAACTTCTAATAATAATAAAAAATTTTTGTGGTCGGAAATTAAACACTAGGGTTTAATTGTCCATTTGGTTATCAGAGTGGTGTAGAACTTTGAGTTTTTGTTTATTTGCTTTGGTATAAAGCAAAGGCTTGAATTTTTACTGGTGTAGTGTTGAAAATGGGTTATTTTTGCTTAGTAAAGAAGCAAAAGTTTGATTTTAGGTTTTGGCAAACGTAAAACATTTTTATTGTTTTTTTTTAAACTGCTAATTGTTAATTGTAAACGTAAGGTGTTGAGACTGATTAGCAAAAAGTATTAAGTGTTGGCAGTTATAATCATCTATACAAGGCTAACAGCTATTAACCAAAGTCATTACTATGTGTTGTTATTTGTTGCAAACATATGGCTGTCTTCAATCGGCCAAAGTAAAGTATAAAATGTAAAGTAAATAAAATAGAAACTTTATAGGTGCCTTGTTGCTTTGTAGAAGGGCCATCTTTATTTTATTTATTGTAATTTGTACCATAAAGTGTGCTTACATTTGCTGAAGTTTTCTAAGTGCAAGAAAGAGGCAGCTAGCAAGACAAGTGTAAATAAATTCATAAAATAAATTAATTGACAAGGATTGTAAATAATATAAGCTTGCAATAATCAATAAGTGTAGCTAAAGTTAATTCAAAACTCGGGCATGAATAAAAAATAATCAGAGTTGACCAAAAACTATCCTTACAATATTAAAATTCAAATTTTTCATATTAAAATGTACATATTATATAGTAGAATCTAAAATTCCAAACAGAATTTTAATTGAAACAATAATTGAAAAATTTATAAGAATAGAAACTCACAAAAATGCAAAAAAAATTATTATCTCTAAGAGTTGAAATGAAACTTTTTTTGGAAGATATAAACACACCATTGGAATTATCACATTCAATAACGGCGTTATGTATATATCTTCTAACAGACAATATGACGATAAGATTCAATACAATATCATTTATATAACAGGGCATTTGGTATTAACCAATTAATTAGAAATTGTGGTCAAACAACCATCAATTGTGATCTTTATCCGAAAAATTTGTTGTTACATAATCACCAAAAACATTGTTATGATATTGGTATTAAATGATCCCAGAAGAGTTGTTACGTGTCCATTAAACAGAAAATATTATATTATATGGTTGGCTCAGTCTAAAGACCTTCTATTGCTGTGCCACGCGCACAAATTTCAAACATATATAGCGATTTCCGTGATAGCATATACATATGTAAACTCGATAAGTCATATGACCGACTTATCGAGTAAACCGACTTATCGAGTGACCGACTTATCGAGTTTACATACTAATACGTATAGTTAAAAATCTTTTTATGGATAGATCGTTGTTACACACATTTCAAAAGATCAGCAAGATTTTCAACCTGTCAAATATGTCAGATGAACTGTTAGCTTTACGACACAAAAAGGCATTAGAATTACTAAATAAGCCAGGACAGAGAGAGTCTTTTGAGGAGTGGACCAAAAATTCTATTAATATAACTGCATTGAAAGAGTGGGAATCATTTGAAAAGATGATGAAATTTTAGGTATTTATAATCACTTAGGATATTTACAAAAATCTCAACATATTGAAAACTTTATCTTTGAACTTCTAGAATACTTAAAGTATAAGAAAAACGAAGCTTGTAAGGATGGTACCAATTCTGAATAAGTTGGTGGTGTTTTATTTGACTCTCATGTATTTTTAACTTTAAGGAGCCGGAGGATGTAACTCTGCAAATGATAAAGAACATAAACCTAGAAATATCTGGGATTTACTCCAACAAGGATGATAAGGCCAAGAAGGAGAGCTCGCCTAATACTCCCAAAGCCAGATAGCAACCCACTTCATCAAATATAAGAACAGTAAACATCGTGGTAAAAATTCTAGACCAAAACAAATACCTGACTCTGTCAATGTACACAACCAGAATGCCTAACAGTTTGGATAGTTCAAACCTTTAAAATTTATTGATAAAAATGTAGAGGTCAATATAAGAAAATATAAAGGTCGTTGGTTCAGGGAAATTGCTTTTTTAATAATCACGCGGACTATGTAAATTTTTCTGAAATAAAACATCTTTATTAATATATTTCGTTATTATAGAGAATGTGAACCAAGTTCACAACGTTACATGTTTACTACAGTAAATGTTTATTTTTGGTCAGATGGCACTTAAGGTACCTTTTGCTAGAGAGCCAGCCCCATAAAACAGCCTTACTCCTAATAGCAATCTTCATTATTATTAGATAAGGTTACCGGATCTATCAAGGGAGTAATAACCTTTTTTGTCTGTGTCCCTGTTTATGTTTGTTGAATGAATTATATATTAATATTATTATAGATACCATGCATGTAGATCTCTGGTGCCGTAATAGTAAGAAATGACATGATTATTTCTATCATTTATTTAAATTGATAAATGTTTTTGATAAGAAATAAGATATACAAGTGTTATTCGTTAAGTACATTTTTTAATATTTTCAAAAAATAAAATTTGTTTTTTAATTATTATTGATAAAATTATTAGTTATTCATCTTATCAAAAGGGAAAAGAAAAACTTATATTTCAAACATCAGCAATATTAAGAAACTTCAATAATATACAAAATTCTAATAAACCTAAGTTACAAATTATTGACTCGAAATTTACAACTATGACATTATCAAAATTTGATAAACTTCCCTCGGATTTTGTGATTTCTCCTGATAATTCGCATGCTGTATTTTCAAAGTTAATCGAAAAATCTGAGAATGATGATCGTTCTTATCGCTTGATTCGTCTAAATAATGAATTAGAAGCATTGCTTATTCATGATCCTGAAACTGACAAGTCTAGTGCTGCTTTAGATGTTCATGTTGGACAGTTATCTGACCCAGTACGATTTTCTACCATATACATATTGTTTATATATTTTTTTTTGATGTTTTTGTGAAAATTTTTTATTATAATTATTTAGGACAATTTAGAAGGTCTTGCTCATTTCTGTGAACATCTTTTATTCATGGTAATATTTATATACATGTTTTTTTTAAATAATGAATGATATTTAAACCAATTAATTCATTTTTAATAATATTTAGGGCACAAAAAAGGTAAAGAAATCACAAATGATCAGTTGATATAGAAACCTCGTGAAATCAAAATTTTCAATATTACACTTTATTAAAATTATATTAACTTAATTTGTAGTATCCAAAAGAAAATGAATACTCTGAGGTAATTGGAATTTATTATTTGTGTTAATATCTATCTTTGGACTTATTTGCATAATAATAATGTATAATTCATTAGTACCTATCAAATCATGGTGGATATTCAAATGCATATACTAGTGTAGATCATACAAATTATTATTTTGAAGTAGCTCATGAAAATTTGGAAGGTGCTTTGGATAGGTAACTAATACTTAATATATACTTTAATATTTAGAATAATCATTATAGCTTTAATTAATTAATCAATTAATTATTAATTTTTTATAGATTTGCACAATTTTTTATATCACCATTATTTGACCCTAGTTGTACTGACAGAGAAATTCTTGCAGTGGATTCTGGTAATGATCAATCATATATATATATATATATATATATATATATAAATACACATTATATATTATTTAAAATATATGGTAGATTGGAGACAATCTAATCTTTTTTTTAAAAAAAATATGCATATATATAGAATTTAAAAAAAATCTTCAGTCTGATTCCAGAAGATTATATCAAGTTGATAAAGCTATATCAAACCCAAAGCATCCTTATAAAAAATTTGGTACTGGAAATTTAGTTACCTTAAAAGATAATCCACTTAAAGAAGGATTGGATATTAGAGATGAGTTATTAAAGTTCCACAATAATTATTATTCAGCAAATATAATGAAATTGGTTGTGTTAGGCCAAGGTATTATTAATAATATATTTATCACATCATTTAATTATTTGGATTTTATTTTTATTTTTAATGATCTATTTTTTTATGATGAATAGAACCTTTGGATCAATTAACTCGATGGGTGGTGGATAAATTTTCTGATGTTAATAATAAATCAATACCAGCACCAAGTTTTGAAGAAAACCCTTTTACTAAAAATGAATTGATGGTAAATGTTTTTGAATATAAACATAATATTTATGTTAAAATTTTAACTCCTTGTCTATTTAGAAAAAAGTATATGTTAAACCTATTAAGGATTTAATAAATTTGGAAATAAAGTTTCCTTTTCCAGTTCAAGATCCTTTATTCCGTACTAAGGTAATATATATTAACACTTTATACTTTTTAACTTTTTTCATATCTATAAATTTTTAAATTTTTTTTCTGTAAAACATCATTATAAAGCCTGGAAGGTATATATCACATTTATTGGGTCATGAAGGTACTGGCTCTATATTTTCACTGTTGAAAAAGAAAGGTTTGTTATTTACAAAAAAAAAAAAAGAAAATCATTATTTTTTGTTTATTTATTTATTTACTTATTTATTTATTTACTTACTTTTTATTGAAAAGGTTTAGTAAATTCTTTAGGTGCAGGATCAGGAGATGTGAGTGCAGGATTTGGATTCTTCAATATTGATGTTGATTTAACTGAATCTGGTCTAGGTAATTTTATGAGCAATTCTAATTAATAGTTATAATAGTTATAATTGTTATGATTATATTTATTTATTTATAACCATATAATGTTTATAGCTAATTATGAAGAAGTTGTTAAAATCATTTTTCAATACATTAAAATGTTGAAAAACGAAGGAATTAAAGAGTGGATATATAATGAGGTATGGTTTTAACAAAAATTAAATTTTTTATATGGGGACAATGTATATATTATATTTTACTAAATAAAAATTTTGTAAAGGCCAAAACTCTTTCTGCCATATCATTTAAATTCAAAGAAAAATCTCGACCTGAAAGTTACACTTCTTATCTTTCCAATGCTTTGCAAAGTTCATATCCTCGTGAATGGGTCTTAAGTAAACCCTATATTTTCAGGGAATACAATCCTAAGTTAATCCAGGAAAGTTTAGATTGGTTAAGACCTGATAATTTTAACCTTACTTTAGTCAGTCAAACTTTTACTGATTTGGATCAAAAAGAAAAATGGTATGGTGTAGAGTATAAAGTTGAACCCATCAGTGAAAACCTTCTTCAGGTAAAAGATCATTAAATATAATTTGTAGAGTATATTTGATATTGTGGCTCATTACTAGCTTAAAAATAGTTGACTTATATATATATATATATTTTTTTTATTAGGAATTAAAATCAGAAACTATTGACTCTGAATTAAAACTTCCATTATCAAATGAGTTTATTCCAACAAACTTTGAGATTAAAAAACAAGAAGTCATTACTGTATGTTTATTAACAAGAAATATCTTTTTAGGAATACTTCCATTTTTCAATTTATTCAAATTTAAATATTATAATAATATAATAATTTGATTAGCCCCTCAAACATCCAAATTTAATTAAAAACACCGACTTGGTTCGTATTTGGTATAAAAAAGATGATACATTTTGGGTACCTAAAGTTTACATTTGGTTCAAAATTCAATGGTAAAGCTTTTAATTTAAATCAATCATTTAATACAAAATAATGATATCAAATATATTAATTGTTTATTAGTCCACTAGTGTATACTACGCCAGCCCATGCTGTCAAGGCTCGTTTATATACTGATTTAATAACAGATGCATTAAATGAATACTCCTATAATGCAGAAGTTGCAGGGCTTCATGCTAGTTTACGATATGGCAATGATGGATTTTACTTTTTCATTTCTGGATACAATGATAAAGTGGTGGTTCTTTTAGAAAAAGTACTTTTGAAAGTGAAGGATTATGAGGTTGATTCAAAAAGGTTTGATATACACAAGGAAAAACTACTACGAATATATCGTAATACCTTATATGACAAACCTTACCAAATTGCAATGTATTATGTTTCTAATTTACTTTATCAAAAATTTTGGACAAATGAAGAAAAATTATCTGCATTGGAGAATATTGTTAGTCAGGATATTCAAAATTTCTATTCATATATATTAAATAATTTACATATTGAATGTTTAGTTCATGGAAATGTTGACAAGGAAGATTCACTAAAATATATAAAAATTTTTGAAGATATTCTAAAACCCAAGTCACTTTCTCCTTCACAAAAAATTGGGGATAGACCAATTTTATTACCAGTGGGAAAAAGATATGTCTATCAACGTGATGTTTATGATACTAATAATGTCAATTCAGCAATAGAATATTATATTGAAATTTGTCATAATAAAGATGTTAAATCAAGAAACAAATTAAGTATATTTGCACAAATTATTAATCAACCTTTTTTTGATCAAATCAGAACTAAAGAACAATTGGGTGAGCACCATTTATTATTAAATATATATATATATATTTGTTTGCTAACTAATTTTGATGTATATATTAGGATATTTGGTATTTAATGGGATAAAAACAACTGCTGGAATAATGGGTTTAAGATTTATAATTCAAAGTGAAAAGGATCCAAATTATCTTGAACATCGAATTGAAGAATTTATTAAAACATCACAAGTATACTTTTTTTAATTAGTTAATATTTATGTATTTATATATATTAATCAATCAATCAATCAATTATTTTTTTAGAAAATAATAGAAGAAATGTCAGATGAAGCATATGAGAAACACATTCAATCAATCATTACAATAAAAACAGAAAAGCCTAAAAATTTATATCAAGAAGCTTATAGATATTGGAATCATATTACTAATGGATATTATGAATTTAATAAAAGTAAAATTAAAATATTTTTGTTTAAAAAAATTTTCTATACTATACAATTCAAATAAATCAAATAACTTTATCATATATTATTAACATAGCTGAAACTGATGTTGAAGAATTACGTAAAATTACAAAATCAGAAATACTTGATTTTTTCAAAGATCATTTTTATACAACATCACCAAATCATAAAAAACTTTCAGTACATTTGAAATCACAGAAAAAAGTCCAAAAAACCAAACCAATTGACATAAAACATCTTCATTCATGTTTAAATGAACAAGGAATCACTAAATTTGATATAAGAGAATTAGAAGAGACTTTAGATTCTACTGAATCAGAAAAAATTGATGCACAGGCATTAGAAGAGATTTTGACAACATTGTTAATTGATGAGAGTAAGGCAAATGAAGAAGAAATTGAAATCTTGATGAAAAAGATTAGCAAATCATATTTGAATAATGGTGGTAATGAAAGTAGCAGTAATATTACTAAAGATTTGAATGGTGATGGTGATTGCAATAATAAAAATAAAGAGAATGGTATTGGAAAACAAGAAATTCATGTTGATAATGAATTGGTTGAAGATATTGTTTTATGGAAATCTAGCATGAATTTAGGACCAGCACCAATTCCTAATGTTGATTTAAATAATTTTATTGAAACAACAAAATAAAATACATCATATGATATAAAATATAGGTTTGATTCTTATAAGAATGAACATGAAAAAACTTTAAAATAATTTTGCCTGATTTTGGTTATTAATAAAAATAGTTGGGCCTATAAAAATTTAATTTTTGCCCAAAGTATGCAAAAAATTGGAAAATTCTGCATTCAAATGTTCAATCAACATTTTTCTTTCTTTATGTTTTTTCTCAATGATCATTGATTCTTTGGTGATAGATTCTTGAGGTTGATCAGTTCATTATTCAAGACCTCTAATTCCTGAGATTTGCTTGTGATCTGTGATTCGAGGTTTGTGATTTTCTCTTTAATGATTGACAATTTTCTTTTAATTTCACTGTCCTTTTCCAATGATCTTGACATTTTGGTTTTTTTCTCCTTGGGTTCCCCCTTGATCTTCTTGTTTTCCAAAATGCAAGATTTGATCCGTTTTCCTATTGTTAAATAATAACTAGAGTGACAACAAGTATTGATAGTCACCACCACCATTCTTGTGATAAACACTTGCTCATTTTGCACCTTATTTTTTTTCTTTATTTCTTTTATTGTCATTCTTTGGCATCTTGAAATACAGTCACTGGAAAAAAGTATTGCTTCACCTGATGATTGGTGAAAATAATTGAATAACTCCTATGATATAAAAAGCCATTATTTTACTAATTAAGTTGATGTTTTGTAATAACAAAAAAATCTTTCCATAATGAATTCTATAACATGCTCAAGTTTCACAACATCCAATTAATTATTGGTAATTTTATAATCTTTAAAAGACAAAAAAAAAACTTTAGATTAGATCCAACTTTAGATGTCATGTTTTAACACATTTTGAGAGCTTAGTAAATGTTGTTTCTTTTGTCTTCAAATATATACTTACAAAACCTCACAATTAATTGTCAAATATTAGTCAATAATCAAATTGAAACGTAAAAACAACTAAAAAAAATAAATGTGTTACATTTTTCACAAATATTGTTATTTGTTTTTAACTAAAACTGTTATGTTTTTTTAACTCTTATTTTTAATCAACAACACATTGACTCTTACAGAAACAAATACACAAAATACTGAAAATACTGAATTAACTGACTTTGAAAGAGGAAGAATAATTGGTCATTGGGAAGCTGGTCAAACAACTCAAGAAATAGCAAATGCCATTGGTTGTACTCAAACACAAGTACAGCATGCAATAAAAGCATATCGCAAAAAGGTCAAATTACTGTTTTATCTAGAAGTGGAAGATGAAAAAGTTTAATGGATTGAGACTCTAGGACTTTAAAAAGAATTGTCATAAAAAATCGTTTTACTCCTGCTAGAGATAACTAAAATATTAAATGAAATCACAGACACTCTTATTTGTGATTGAACAGTTTGTAGCTATCTTCATGGAGAAGGATATTATAGTCGAGTTGCATTGAGGAACCTTTTGTTTCTGAAGTTAATTGAAAAAAATGATTTAGTTGGTGCAGAGAAAGAAAAAATTGGAACATTGATGACTGGAATAATATTATTTGGAGTGATGAATCAAAATTCAACTTGTATCATTCTGATGGATGGCAGAGAGTTTGGAGAATTCCAAAAGAAAAGTATGATGTTGACTGTCTTATTCCTACTTTTAAACAACATAGCGGGCTTAAATATGATAAGAGCTGACAGATATTGTGATTGAGAAGCATGTGAATTGTCTCACAATATTGGTTGTAATTTAGCATGTGGACATTCTTACCATTATGAATGCTTTTTGT